CTACCTGGATGAGTTTGTCAGCTGTGGTAGTGTTTGTGTGGAATCTTAAGGATTTTCTAGACATAGTATCATGCTATCTGCAGATAGTGACAGTTTTACCTCTTCTTTCCAATTTGGATCCCTTTTATTTCTTTTTCTCGTCTGATTGCTGTGGCAAGGACTTCCAAAACTATGTTAAATAGAAGTGGTGAGAGTGGGCATCCTTATCTTATCCCAGATTTTAGTGGGACAGCTTTCAACTTTTCACCATTGAGTATTATGTTAGCTGTGGGTTTGTCATAAATAGCTTTAATTATGTTGAGATATATTCCCCCTATACTTATTTTGGTAAGAGTTATTATCATGAACAGATGTTGGAGATCTACCTTCTTAACAAATTTTAGAGTATATGATATAGTCAGACCTCAAAGATATTATAGGTTTGGTTCCAGACCACTGCAATAAGGCAAATATCACAATAAAGCAAGTCACATGAGTTTTTTGGTTTCATAGTCCATAGAAAAGTTACACTATACTGTGGTATATCCAGTCTGTGAGAACACTATGCCTTTAAAAAGTACATGCCTTAATTTAAAAATACTTTATTGCTTAAAAAGTGCTAACCATCACCTGACAACACAGAGTTGCCACAAACCTTCAATTTAAAAAAACAAACACGCACTATCTGTGAAGCACAATAAAATAGGGTGTGCCGGTATATAACTTACTTTTTCTTCTCTTAATTTCCTTATAACACAACTAACTCTTAATGCGGTAAGATATGGGCTCATAATGTACATAAAAGTTACAGCTATGACAACGTGTCAAGAGTGGGGCTTCTCATCTCCTCACAGGGCACGTTAGTGAATTTCCGTTGTTTATGTTTCATGCACCAAGAACCATGATCTTGATCTTGACAGGGCAAGTCACTTGCCCACGATCACATAGCCAATTGGGACCGAATGTCTCAAGCCAAACCTGCTGGCTCACCACACAAAAATTCAGATGGGACAGAGAAGAGGTACTTATTGGATCCCTCTGACACTCTACACACAATTTCTTGGGCAGCCTTGGGGACACAAGGCGGGTGCTCATTTACGATCAGGCAGACGGAACGAAGAGCATGAGTAGGGAAGACAGGGTAAGCCCAGTGAGAGGAAGGCTGGTTTCTCAGCAGGGCCAGAAGACGAAGTGTGCCAGAAGCCCCTCCCCTGGGTAAAGACGAAAGGCTGGCAGGGAGGCAGGGCCAGGCAGTCTAAACGGAAGCCTAGGAAGCCCGGTGAGCAGCCTTCTCCACAGCATCGCAGTGATGACTCCTCCTTCCTGACTTGCTGACCGCTGTCAACCCAGCCCCCGTCCCCTGGATAGGGGCTCAGCAGATGTGGCTTCTCCTGGACCGCACCAGTTGAGTGATGAGTTTTGGTTTGGAAAATGGAATTCTTGCTAGTAGGGAAAGGAAAAGAGGTGGTGACTGTAGGATATGTGCTTAAGGTGCCATTTCAGAACTCAGAGGTAGACAGGGTGGGGAAGCCTAGAGCGTAGCATAAAGGACCTCTGAAGAGTGACCTCTGAGCAGGGGAAAAGCAGATGAATTAGGGAAAGAAACCTCAGATCAGCGAGACAGCACAGTATGTTTACTCCTTGCTGGGTGGATAAAAAATCTCCCCTGTTTGAAGCAAGAATATCTGGAAAGAGAATCCAGCCTGGGGAGAGGACCTGAAGCCACAGGCCACAGGTAGGTATAAGCAAACACCAATCTACCTATTCTCAACTGTACACACCACCCAGGCTCCCCCTGGGGGACGTGGAAAAGCCTTTGTTGTCAGACCCAGTGCTGAGGCAAAGGTGAGCTCTCCCTCCCTTGCCTTTTCTGCACAGTAGGTTTAAGCTGCTCAGTACGTTACACTTTAAGTTGTAAGGGAAGCCATCGTTGCCTAGTGATACCAGGTGGCTGTGGTTCTCCAGCGCCACCTCTCTGCCCAGCTTCAGAGCGGGCTCCAACATCCCTGGGCACCGCTGTCGACTGAAAAAAATGCAAAACCTGTGACAGTTGAGAATTATGTTTCATTTGGTGTGATACAGGAAAATGGCTCAAGAGGATGGTCGTGTCCCAGGTCTTGGGCGAGTTCCTGGGATGTGCCCCACTCAGTGAGGGTCCTTGGCTTTGTGCAGGAAAGAATTCAAGAGCAAACCATACTAGAGTGAGAGTAGTCTTATTCAGAGACGCACACTCCATAGACAGTGTGGGCTTTCTCAGAAGGCAAGAGAGAGTGACCATGAGGTGTGGGCTTGTTAGGTTTTACCGGCTCAGTAATTTCATATGCTAACAAGTGGGAGAATTATTCCAACTACTTTGGGCAAGGGGTGAGGATTCCCAGGAACTGGACCATCACCCACTTATTGACCTTTTATGGTCAGCCTTGAAACTGTCATGGCACCTGTGGAAGTGCCGTTCGGCATGCTAACATATTACAACTAGTGTATAACGAAGCTCAAGTTCTACTGGGAGTTGACTCTCCCGCCATCCTGGTGCTAATTGCTGTGTCATTCGTTTAATGGTTGTGCCCTGCCCTCTTCCCTCCTGTCTCAGGTGGACATACTGAGAACTTAAGCCTGGGAGACAGACTCTCAAACAGCTCTGAGGGACTGCTCCAAAGAAGTAAGGGAAGAGCCAGGATATAAAGGAGTTTTTTGAGGTGGGGGGAGGGGGCGGCAGGAAACCCAGGTAGTTGGAACATTAAAAGATTACTGTTCGCAAACATTTGCAAATCTCAAACTCCCAAATTTATCCCTTCTCACCCCCTTTCCCCCAGTAACCATAAGATTGTTACTGTCTGTGTCTGTTTCCATTTTGTAGATGAGTCATTAGTGTCCTCTTGTTTCTTTTTTTTTGAGATTGTCGACTGAAATAAATGCACAACCTAAAAGTCGAGAGTTATGTTTGATTCGGTGGACAATTCTGAGGACAGCCTCTCAGATGGCTCTGAGGGACAGGTCCGAAGAGGTAGGGGAGGAGCTAGGACATATAGGAGTTTTACAACAAAGAGCAGGTAGTTGGAACATTAAAAGATTACTTGTTAACTAAAGAAAACCAGGCATCTCAACTTAAAGAATTTAGCGCTTTTTTTATGTATGGGAGGAAGCAAACATTTGGGCTCATTGAATTCGTTCCTTTGACAAGCACCTAGCTATGTAGGGCCAGTATCCTGTCCTTTCTTATTCTGAGTCCCCTCAGAGGGCACCATTGTGAGTGGCTGCAGAGGCCGGGCTGCAGGCTTGTCTTCGCTGTGGGGTGGCAGCAGCTGCTGATAACTTGGCTTCAGCATTGTTTGTTTACTGGTATGGTTTGCAGTATTTTTCATTCACAAAATTTGCAAATGTTAACCACTATATATAAACATAGATAAAAAACAAGTTTCTTCTGTATCGCACGGGGACCTATATTCAATATCTTGTAAAACTTTTAATGAAAAAAGAATATGAAAACTAATATATGTATGTATATGCATGACTGGGACATTGAGCTGCACACCAGAAATCGACACATTGTAACTGACTGTACTTCAATAAATTTTTTTTAAGATTACTGTTAATTAAAGAAAAACCAGATCGCTCGAGTTAATGAATTTAGCACTTTTCTATCTATGGGAAGATGAAAGACTCTTGGCTTATTGAAATCATCCCTTTGATAGGCACCTTAACTACGTAGGGCCAGTATACTGTTTCTCTCCATTCTAAATCCCCTCAAGGTGCAGAGCTGGGGGTGGCTACCGTGGCTGATGGCTTGATGGCCTAAACATCCTTTGTTTACTGATATGGCAGGCGATTTTGTCCACACGGCTAAATTCTTGGTGAAGGACTGAGTCGTGGGGTAGGACAGAGAGGGATGTGGAGAGACATACAGGAGCTTTACAACAAAGACCAGGTAGTTGGAACAATAAAGATTGCTTGTTGTCTAAAGAAAACCAGGCATCTCAAGTTAAAAGAATTTAGTGCTTTTCTATGTATGGTAGGAAGCAAACATTTGGGCTCATTGAATTCATTCCTTTGACAAGCACCTAGCTATGTAAGGCCAGTATCCTGTCCTTTCTTATTCTGAGTCCCCTCAGAGGGCACCATTGTGAGTGGTTGCAAAGGCTGGGCTGCAGGCTTGTCTTCGCTGTGGGGTGTCGGCAGCTGTTGATGAGTTGATGGCTTCAGCACTGTTTACTGATATGGTTTGCAGTATTTTTCGTTCATACACTAAAATCATTAAATCAAGATGCCTGTTCTTTTGCGATTAGCAGTAATATTTTGACATTTGACTACGTTTCTTTTTTCAGCAAAAACTTCTATATATCCTGGCTCCTCCCTTACCTCTTTAGAACAGTGCCTCAGAGCCAGCTTACAGGCTGTCTCCCAGGCCACCAAATAAAATATAATTCTCAATTTCTAGGTCGTGTTTTTTAGTAGACAGAGCCAAGACGACCAAGGCCTTAGCCCCAAGCTATGGTCAAACAGTGAGGCTCCTGTCCCCCAGGAGATGGATGATAGATTGCCCATAGGTTTGTGGACTCCCAGCAAGGGAAAGGGTCTCAGGGAGCGCAGTCCCGCCTCCCTCCCTCAGCTGTGAGATCGCGGGAAAACAGCTTTGCCTCTCTGTTTCAGTCCCACCAGGGGTTTAAGTGAGTTAAACCATTATGTGAGTTGGAAGATATCTCGCTTGCACAGCGCTCACAGAACACTGACACAGGCTTGTTACTGGTAACTGGAGCTGAGACCACAAGTCCCATCGCCCCGCAGGAGCGCCCACCCAAGAAGCCTAAGGGCAGGTCCCCGAATACGTCATTTCCGCTAGCCTAGGGTGTCTGCCGGCACCGGATGCGGAAGCTACCGCAGGGTTTACTGGGAAGTGTAGTCTTTCAGGAGGAGGCTTTAGAGAAGGGATCAGGGCACGGCGAGAAGCATCACCCGGGATCCTCTGTGTATTTTATCTACTTGGTTTTAAGAAAAGAGAGAGGGAATCTAGGTGCCATAGTGGCCATTCTCCGGTGGCCAGAGCATGAGACCGAGAAACGGCTCCCTCAGGGACCAGTGAGAACGTGGGGGGGGGGGCCCGGCGGCGCACTTTGGGGGAACACCGAGCATCCTGGGAGCTGTGGTCCTGGCGCTGGGCGGGGGATTCTGGGTAGTGTAGTCCCGGCTTCCTCCTGGAGTAGATGCCTAGCTGGTGGCTGGAGTGACCCCTTGTTCTTTGGTGGCGCTGGTGAGTGAGGCTCCCGAGGGACCCTCGTCGCAGCCGTGCCCTTCCCCGCGCGGAAAGGTAAGTCCTGAAAGGCTGGTTTATGGGCTGTGGCTGGGGACGGTGCGGGTGGCGGGGAGTGGGGGTGGTGGCGAGGACGCGCTGTCGTGGCCTCCCGGATGTCACATTTTGGGATGTGGGCGCGCATCTCCGCGGAACGTGGGCGAAGCTCAGCCTTGATAGCCAGTGGTTATGGGTGCTGGGCACCGGGCTCGTCCTAGGGATCCTGTGGGTGAGGACATGTTCGGCCTTGGCCTAAATAGCAATATTGGGAGAAGGCGTCGCTCATGCCACAAGTCCCCGGGTTTAGGGGCCCGTTGAGTAAGTAAGCTTTGGGGGGCCTGATGTTTCCTAGGTGGTGGGGTGAGGGCCGCCCCTGGGGCCAGGTGTCTGGTGTTTTGGTGGGTGGGGGCTGGTAGTCTTACTTCGGGTCCAGCTGCCCCTCGGCTTTGCTAAGGCATCCCGCGGAGGGGCGATCGGACTTGGGCAAACGTGCCCGGGCTGGGCTGGGTGTGGAGTGGCCATCTTGGCTTGATCTTAGGATCTCAGTTTGACTGGTCGTCCCTGGGTTATGGCCTTGGATGAGGAGGTCGTCTGGGGCCCACTGGGCAAGTTTTTTAGAAGTCCTGGGGACCATCACTGGTCACAGGAATCATGGATTTACACACCTCTGGTGTGGCTGGGCTTGGGGACTTTGAGTTCCATTTAAAATTTTTATTACGAAGAAATTTCAAACAAACAAATACAACTCCATAGACCCATCACCCAGATTTAACCCTTATCACCCCATGACCAACCTTGATTCATCTCAAAATGATACACTGAGAATCCTTACAACCCACCGAGGTTTTGCTGTCACTGCCCTGTTTAACAACAGCCAGATTTCATCCAGACTTTGTCACTTTAGAACTGTGTCACCTAGGGCGAGAGACTGACCTCACTGTGCCTCAATTTTCTCATCTGTAAAATGAAGATAAATTGTGTTTCACTGTGTTACTGTGAGGCCAGAACGAGGTAAAACTCATACAGCGCCTGGAATGGTCTCTGGTGGATTCCAGTGTCCAGTGAGTGTTCATTTTCCTTATTAAGATCACAGGTGAGAGATCAGCTCAGGCTGTGTCAGCAACGGGTGGGAGCAGACTGGGTTCACAGTCTACGTCCTGGCTCTGTGCCCAGCAAGCCGCCCGCAATCTTTTCTTCTATGGCAGGACCACTCCTGATGCCTTTGAGGGAGAGGAAACCCTACCCTGCTGGAGCTTGAGCGTTTCCAGTGACTCTGCTGAACCTTCTGGTTCTTGTTCTGCCCGCTGTGGCTCCTGCCTGCCCAGAGAGGACTGCCTGGTGGGCAGGGGGAGGACTCCTGGGCTCCCGACAGCCCAGCCTCAGGTGGGCGCCGCTTGCCTTTTGCATGCCGAACCACGGGTGGGTTTACTTCCCTCATCTTTGACATCTTGTGCCTTATAACGCCGCATCTGGGGATCAGAGCCCCCACTGCCTTCCGCAGGAAACAAGGCCTGTTGTCGGGGGACCGTTTTCCCCGAGACTCATCTTCAGACCCGGCAACCCTCTTCACAGCCCCGCCATCCTCGCGCCAGTGTCCCCTCTCAGCGTTTGTTCAGGCCTTCTCACTGCCGGCTGCCTGCTGTGAACAGCCTCAGCTGGCCTCAGCCTTGTGTCCCTGTTCGGTCCCACGCCGTCCCGTCCTTGTCCTGCCAGAATATTGGCAGCAGCTCTGCACCCGCAGACACCTCAGGAGGCAGCTCTAACACATCAGGACTGCTTGTTTTAACAAAACCACCACTTTGCTGTTACACCCAACGGAATCAAGAGTTCTTTCTCCACTTGTTTTAAAACTTTTTTCAGTCAGAACAGCTCTGGTCAGAGGCAGGAGAGGGGGGTGGATCTAGAATTCAGTGGGGTGATTTTTCCCTGTCTCCGCCATTCTGTCTCCCGTTTCTACTGGCCTTGCAGACCTAGGTTAACATCTGCAACCTCTGCCCTTGGCATGAGCTGGGCCCCATGCGTTTTCCTGGCCGCCGTTCTTTCCGAACGCACCTCCCGTGCGGTTGGCTGCCGTGTTCTCAGGGCGCCTGTGCCGCCCCCTGGATTCCTTCTTCCTCCCTGGTCTCCACTCCAGCGCGGGCGCCGCACACTGTCCTTGCTTCCTGTCTCTTCTCCACCTTCTTGTCCCTCTTCCCACCCCACCCCCCCCTTGAGTTGGGCACCTGAGGTTTAAATACTGATCTTGCCATTCAGCCTGAGACCTTTCTAATCATTTGCTTCTGTCTCGACCCCCAAGTCAGACTGCCTGGGGTCAAACCTCAGTTTCACATGTCTAGCTGTGTGGCCCTGAGCATGTTACTTTACCTCTCTGAGCCTTCTTTTCCTCATCTGCCAAATAAGGATCATACTGGTGCCCACCTTGCAGGGATGTTGGGTGTGATAACACTTGTAATGAGACAAATTCTTTTTATTTACATATTTATTTATTTTTATTTTTTGAGGGGAGAGGTGATTAGCCTGGCTGGCTGCCTGGCTGGCTTGTTTGTTTGTTTATAGGAGGGACTGGGGATTGAACCCAGGACTTGGTGCATGCTAGGCACGCACTCGACCACTGAGCTGTACCCTCCCGCAGTAACACTTGTGATGAGGTTAGAGATCTGGTACATAGTAAATTCCAAGTCATTGTTAACTGGGGTTATTATGAATACCTCCAGTTTCTCCTCCAAGTCCCCTTTTCAGTCTCCTCCTCTACTCAGCACCCTTCTCAGACCCTGGTTTCAGCAGCCGGGAAGTAGATCCCATTGTCTGCCTTTGTTTCCCAACACCCCTCGGCTTCAGTGTCAGCTCCTGCTCCCGGGCCCCCTGTTGGGGCAGGATGCTGGATGCGTCAGGGCCCTAGGGCTCTCAGGCTACGTCATCGCTGTCCCGCTGGACTGGGGGTGATTTTTTGAGGGTCGGGCGCCTTGTGTCTCTTGAGTCACTGATCCAGTTCCTGGCACCTGGGTAGACTAAGTGTGCAACGCACCATGAGGACCAGGTTGTGGCGGGAGCGGAAGCTCACGTGGGAAATTGGTTGGAAAGTGTGGTTCAGGCATTATTGGAGTGAGCCTAGGTGCCAAGTTAGTGTGGACCTGATCTGGGGCAGGAGGGCCTTGGAAAGGGTTTGGAGCAGAGCAGTTACCATGGTTTCCCTCCAGCTGTTGCCCTGCGTCTTTCCTCCCCTTTAGAGCGAAACTCCTTGAAAGCCTTCTTTATTCTTGCCATTGCCCTTAATATCCTTCTACTGCCTTTTAAATATTCCAAGGAGGCTTTTTCAACTCTACCCGTTAAAAAATATTCTTGTCTGGGAGGTGGTTAGCTCAGTGGTAGAGTGTGTGCTTAGCATGCACAAGGTCCCAGGTTCAATCCCCAGTACCTCCATTTAAAAAAAAAAAGTTAAAAAAACAAATTCTTGTGTAAGTTACCGGTGAGCTCCCTGTGGCTTAATGTCAGTCAGCACCCAGGCAGCCTTTTAAGTGGTTCCCTATGCCTGCAGTGCAGCCAGGACCGTGTCTGAGGACGGGCGACACAAGACATAAGAAACAGAGAGACAAGGTAAAGAGCGAAGATGGGACCAGGGGACTCAAGAGCTCATGGCTCGAGAGTGCCGAAAACCTGGTCGACATCATATTTATTAGGAGTATACAGCTCAGAAAAAAATGCGATCAAACAGGTGGGGCTTTAGATATTTCAAGAGATAAGCACTAAGTTCTGCCTGCTGGCTAGCTGGTTAATTTCAGGCCTGTCCGTTCCAGGAACAGTCCCCCTCCTGGGGTGTGCGACACTTCTGAGTCTATCCTGCGATTGCCTCTGGGACATCTGGAGATAGCAGATAGTCCCCCTGGGTTAAACCGCATGCTTTCACGCCAGAACCAGGTTCTGTTGGCGGATGATCTGGCTTCCCAGGACCATCCATTGTTTTACCCTAAGGAGATAACTGCCCTCTTTGTGTCCTTATGGTCAACCTTAGGATTTCTCCTTACAAGTTTTCTTCAGCATAATACATGTTATAGGTCGTCTACTGCATAAAACATTAAAACAAAGTGAGCATGTGCATTTTAAGCAAGTAAGTGTGAATACAGGGTTTTAAGCTCATGGAAATGAATACAAGGTTTTAAGCTCATGCGGCTTGTTTTCTAGCTGCTTGTTATCCAGCGGCTTGTCTTCCAGCAGCCTGCTTCCTTCTTAGGCTCCTTCCACGTGACTGTCCCTGGTTCCCAGTTTCCCTCGTGCCTCGTGGGCTGCTCCTCCGCTCCTGCACCCACACTGCGGAAGGCCCACGCCAGCTCTCAGACCTCTCATCTCCAGCTGCGTCTCTCCTTGGTGGCCCCGTCCACTCTCAGGGGCCTGTGAGGTTCAGCCTAGACCTGTGCCTTCCACTCCAAATTCCAGGTCCCTGTCTACCTCACATGTCCACTTGGGTATCTCATGGGCACCCAGACCTAATATATCCAACAGTAAACTGATCAGCACCCCCTGAAACATGCTCCATTCCCGTGGAGTGTAGACAGTTCTTTCAGGGATTTAGCTGTAAAAGGGAGCAGGGGCCGTGGCAGCTCCTTCAGCTTCAGTGCTCAGGCCCAGGCCTTGAGAGTCAGCCTCGACTCCCTTCTCCTGCTCTGATGCTCCACCCCAGCTCTCCACCCACTGCTGCTCCCACCTTGGTTCAGGCCACCATTTCACCTAAGTGATCTCTTTGCTTCCTCCCTTGTCCCCTGAAGTCAGTACAGCGACCAGAGGGATCTTTTAAAATGTCAGTCAAATCATGTCACACCTTTGCTGAAAACCCGCCAGTGGCATCTCATCTCAGTCAAAGTCGAACTTGGTACAGTCTCCGCATGTCTTGTCAGGCACGCACACCAGCCACAGTGAACTGGCTCTGTGCCTTGACCCTGCCAGGCTGACTCTTGCCTCAGGGCCTTTGCACTGGCTGTTCTCTTGCTCTTTTCAAAGTTACTCACTTGGCTCATTCCCTGGCACCCTTCAGAGATTTTGTACTCAGTTGCCTTCTCAGAGAGGTCTTCCCTAACCACTATTTAAAGTAGCAAAA